GGATGATATGGTTGGATGACATCACCTACTCAATGGACATGGGTTTGGGTGAACTCTGGAAATTGGTGATGGACAGGGAGGCCTGTTGCAGTTCATGGGGTTGCAGAGTCAGACACGACTGAACAACTGAACTGAACTGATCCAGGTAAGTTGGTGAGAGACACAAGTGAGTTTGCATCCACCTTGGTTCTTAAGAGGACCAAAATGAACACATTCAGGGATGTTCTTAAAAAGCAGAAAACACAGCAAAGTATTAAAGTCCATAGATTACCATATCAACACAAAAGGAAAGAAAATAGGTAATAAGCACAAGGAATAAAATGATCTTTAACACAGGATGAACAAGACTTATTGTTTTAAAATCATTTACATTTCAATGGTTTACATATGTGTCATTAAAATATTTTCTCATAATTGCATAATTTAATTTAGTGCTTGAAAACCATCAAGACAGTTTTCATGGAAAGTAAAAACTACTTGGTTTAATATGGCAAATATTACCAGATACATCACCTAATTCCTCCCTCAATAACCTATTCCCTGTTTCAGCTTAAAATTTTTAGGTAGTTCTTAAAAACATCATGAGAACAGTAAAACCCAAATTCTAGAATATGATAAAATGTTCTATTATATGAATCTTTATTTTTCTTGAGCCTCAATTAATATAACTGTTTACCTTTAGTTTTCTCTAGACAGATGGAACTGTTACATTGTTAGAATAGGAAACAGGAGTCCAGAATGGCAGTGGCTAAAAGACAAGGAAGGGAAAAGCCCATGAAAATAGAGCAAAGTAATGCCCGAGGACCAGAGTGAGGGCCTCAGGTAGAACAAACAGTAGTCCTGGATAGCCCAATTTACATAAGGTAGGCCCAGGAGGAGGAAAAAAAAAAAAAGACATATAAAAATAAGAGGAGCCAAAGGGCCAGGGGTCTCTCTCTTTCCCATGTGTGTGCCCTCATTTTCTCTCTGCCTTTCTCTCTCTTCTCTTTGCATATTTTGGGTCAGCATGCCCTCCTGCCTCGAGGATGCATTTTCCCTTATTTTCTAAATAAAACTGATCTGTTCAAGAACTATAACACAGACTGTCCGAGAGCTGTGATTCTCTGAGGGTTTTAACATCATTGCTTCAGATCTTTGTTGTGACAAGACAGAGCCAAGGGTCCCCTAACAGAACTAGAATAACCTATTAAATACCTTCCCCTATATCCCTTATTTATACTTCTGTATATTCTGATTCTTTGTCACAGAACATTCTTCCACATTTTGGGGGATGGCTAAATTCTACTCCTCTGATGGAGAAGGATAAGCTTCTGCAAGCTTCCTGATGGGAGAGACTGACTGAGGGAGAAACTGGGTCTTGTTCTGATGGGTGGGGCCATGGAAGTGATAAATAGATTCAAGGGATTAGATCTGATAGGCAGAGTGCCTGAAGAACTATGGACAGAGGTTCATGACATTGTACAGGAGACAGGGATCAAGACCATCCCCAAGAAAAAGACATGCAAAAAGGCAAAATGGTGGTCTGAGGAGGCCTTACAAATAGCTATGAGTAGAAGAGAAGCCAAAGGTGAAGGTGAAAAGGAAAGATAAACCCACTTGAATGCAGAGTTCCAAAGAATAGCAAGGAGAGATAAGAAAGACATTCTCAGTGATCAGTGCAAAGAAATAGAGGAAAACAATAGAATGGGAAAGACCAGAGATCTCTTCAAGAAAATTAGAGATACCAAGGAACTTTTTCATGCATAGATGGGCACAATAAAGTACAGAATTGGTATGGACCTAACAGAAGCAGAAGATATTAAGAAGAGGTGGCAAGAGTACACAGAAGTATTATACAAAAAAGATCTTCATGACCCAGATAATCACAATGGTATGATCACTCACCAAGAGCCAGACACCCTGGAATGTGAAGCCAACTGGGCCTTAAGAAGCATCACTACAAACAAAGCTAGTGGAGGTGATGGGATTCAGGCTGAGCTGTTTCAAATCTTAAAAAATGATGCTGTGAAAGTTCTGCACTCAATATGCCAGCAAATTTGGAAAATCCAGCAGTGGCCACAGGACTGGAAAAGATCAATTTTCATTCCAATCTTAAAGAAAGGCAATGCTAAAGAATGCTCAGACTACCACATAATTGCACTCATCTCACACGCTAGTAAAGTAATGCTCAAAATTCTCCAAGCCAGGCTTCAACAGTACGTGAACTGTGAAATTCCAGATGTTCAAGCTGGATTTAGAAAAGGCAGAGGAACCAGAGATCAAATTGCCAACATCTGTTGGATCATCAAAAAAGGGAGACAGTTCCAGAAAAACATCTACTTCTGCTTTATTGACTACACCAAAGCCTTTGACTGTGTGGATCACAACAAACTGTGGAAAATTCTTAAAGAGATGGGAATAGCAGATCACCTGACTTGCCTCTGAGAAATCTGTATGCAGGTAAAGAAGCAACAGTTAGAACAGAACATGGAACAACAGACTGGTTCCAAATCAGGAAAGGAGTACGTCAGGTTGTATATTGACACTCTGCTAATTTAACTTATATGCTGAGTACATCATGTGAAATACTGGGCTGGATGAAGCACAAGCTGGAATCAAGATTGCCAGGAGAAATATCAATGACTTCATATATGCAGATGACACATTTATGGCAGGAAGCAAAGAAGAACTAAAGAGCCTCTTGATGAAAGTGAAAGAGGAGAGTGAAAAAGTGGGCTTAAAACTCAACATTCGGATAACTAAAATCACGGCATCTGGTCCCATGGCAGTGGATGGGAAACAATGGAAACAGGACAAACTTTGCTTTCTTGGGCTCCAAAATCACTTCAGATGGTGACTGCAGCCATGAAATTAAAAGATGCTTGCTCCTTGGAAGAAAAATTATGACCAACCTAGACAGCATATTTAAAAGCAGAGACATTACTGTGACAACAAAGGTCCATCTAGCCAACGCTATGGTTTTCCAGTAGTCATGTATGGATGTGAGAGTTGGACTATAAGAGGGGTGGAGAGGGTGAGATGTATGGAAAGAGTAACATGGAAACTTACATCACTGTATGTAAAATAGATAGCCAAAGAGAAAGTGCCATAAGGCTCAGGAAAAACTCAAACAGGGGCTCTGTATCAACCTAGAGGGATGGGATGGGGAGGGAGATGGGAGGGAGATTAAAAGGAAAGGGATATATGTATACCTTTGCTTGATTCCTGTTGAGGTTTGACAGAAAACAGCAAAATTCTGTAAAGCAATTATCCTTCAATAAAAAATAGATTAATAAAAAAAAAACTGAAAAAAAGAGAAAGAAAGCTGAGCACTGAAGAATTGAGGCTTTTGAACTATGGTGTTGGAGAAGACTCTTGAGAGTCACTTGGACAGCAAGGAGATCCAACCAGTCCATCCTAAATGAAAGCAGTCCTGAATATTCATTGGAAGGACTGATGCTGAAGCTGAAACTCCAATACTTTGGCCACCTGATGCAAAGAACTGACTTATAGGAAAAGACCCTGATGCTGGGAAATATTGAAGGTGGGAGTAGAAGGGGATGACAGAGGATGAGATGGACAGTTGGAGGGCATCACCGACTCAATGGACATGAGTTTGAGTAAACTCCGGGAGTTGGTGATGGACAGGGAAGACTGGCATGCTGCAGTCCATGGGGTCGCAGGGTGGGACACAACGGAGCAACTGAACTGAACTGAAACTCTACTCTTCTTCAAGAAGCAGCTCAAAATTATGGTCCTCATATTCAGACACCATTAAGTGTGTCTCTAACATGCTTCCTTAGTATTTTGACCTTCTATTATTGTGTTTTTACAGTGTATTATGCTTTCCATATACTCCTTTGTTTCCAATCCATATTGTGAGCCTCTGGAGTGTAACAACTAGCTATCTTTTAAGTCTATGTCCAGAATGAGTAAATAGAGAAATACAGTATATAGTAAGTCTCTTTCAAATGTTTTTCAGAAAACTAGCTCCAACAGGTCCTAACACACTAATAAAAGCACATTAATATTTTAACTTAATTGAATTTTGAAAAATCATGAAAGAAATTATGCTATATTTGCAGGTGAGCATTACAGAATATCCTTTCACTTACATCCAATCATGAAGCAATCATGAACATATAGTGATTTTAGTTTCTTTATTTTTTCAATAAATTCTCTTTCTAACACACACAATGAACTGAACTGTGTTCCCCTTAAATTCATATTTGACATCTTAACCTTCAGTGGGATGTTATTTGGAGACTGGGCCTTGGATGGTATCTAGGTTTAGATGAGATCATGAAGCAGGGGCACTTATCTTGGGGTTAGTGCCTTTGTAAGAAAAGACACCAGAGACCTGCTTTCTTTCACTTTACTCTATGTCAGATTATAGCAACAAGGCAACAGTCTGCAAACCAAGTAGATGCCTTTCACCAGAACCTGATCATGCTGAATCCCTGATTTTGAACTTCTAGCCTCCAGAGGTGTGTGAAAATAATGTCTGTTGTTTAAGACACAAATCCTTGAAATTTGTTATGACAGCCTCACCTGACTAAGAGTATATATACTGACTCTGTAGCTAAAATATATACTATACATATAAATGTAAACACACACACATTCTCTCACTTACTGATTATATAGGAAATATCATTTCAGACATAACTCAGAATTAAATGATATAATGTAACTGGCAGCAACAGAAACTAAATATCTAATTTTTACCACTGAGATAATTAATCAGTTGCAATTTAAACCACAAAACATAATACTGCATTTTTCAAAGCTAACTAACTATTTTAAAGGATCCATTATTCATCAAAGCATTTCTAAAACTGATACTTATACTAGATTATCATTTACTTTTAAAATAAATATTACGTTAATTTAGGAAAGCTTAAACTAAAATTAGGTCTGCTTCAGTGATAAATTCACATCACATAAATTTTGAGAGGCTAAAAGAAAACAAAACAGAATAAAAACCTTTGTATATTACAAAACCTGATAGTAATCAATACCTGTATTCCTCTTGTGTAAACCGTGGGATTTCTCCTGGATGTAAGACAAGAATCTTCACAGTGGCACTGCTGGACATCACAGGCTCACCATCATCAAAAGCAACAATGACCAACTTAAAAAGTAATAGAAACTCTAGTTAAAGATGATTTAAAAGAAGAAGACAAAGCATAATTTTTCCATTAATGTTTTAAATTATTGAACTGCCTGGTTCCAAAAGGGAGAGCAATATTCATTTTCTCATTGCCTACCAAGTAGAAGACACATGCTAGGATATGCACAACAATCCCTCCAGGTAGATGTTATTATTCCCATTTTCCGGGTGAGAAAGCTCAAAGAAATTCAGTTAATAGTTTTATGATATAATGAAACAGGGCACTCAAAGATGGTGCACTGTGACAACCCTGAGGGATGGGATAGGGATAGGGATGGATAAGGAGTTGGGAAGGGGGTTCAGGATGGGGGAACACATGTACACCCATGGCTGATTCATGTCAATGTATGGCAAAAAATACTACAATATTGTAAAGTAATTAGCCTTCAAATAAAATAAATATATATTTTTTAGAGCTAGCAGTAAAACAGGTATAAGATACTACATCTCTCAAAACCTATTCTCTCTTTCACAATTCCACTGGTGCCTACAGTAAAAACATGAAACCTTTATAAGTTTGAACACATTTTAAAAGTATTATGTTCAGTCTCATCGACAGTGAAAAGCTAATTAGCTTGCTTATAAAAAGAAATTAATTTTTTCCAGTGAATCAACTGTCTGCAAGATTATACAGAAGAAATACTTCACTTTGGAGGATAAAATTGGAAATCTTCATAGCTTAACACTTCATAGTTTAACACTCTCTTAAAAACAATTAATTATATAAAACCAAGTTCCTATGGTAGAATAAAGAATGCTCAAATGATGTGAACTAAAGAAAAAGTTTTAGTCTTAAGATTAATATCTGTATATTATTTATTACTAAGATAGTTTTTATAATAAATCATTTTTTTTGACTAACTGTATTATGTCAAGAAGAACTTAAGTTTAAGAAATATTAAAGTTCAAAGCTATGTATTTCTCTAGAATGTATATAACGTTGGATACTGCAGGTGACTAAACTAAATCAAACTAGATCATAGAACCACAATCAAGGGTCATCCTGAGAGTCACAATTTGCCTTCAGGTTAATACTTATAAACAGAATAATTATTTAAAATGGAGATAAAATTATCTCCAGTAAGACAGTGCTCACTGATATTCACAAGGTTAACTGATGAAAGTATTTCCCCAATGCATGGTCAAACGCTTTATTCTCAGAGACAAAATTTTTCTAGTAACTACAGAGAATGGAAATAGTCAAATATTTAATATAATGGGTTATTTCTGATAATAGGGAAGGGTAATATTATTTCAAATTTTCTAAAATTATAATGTATCAAGAAGACATAAACTTGAACCAACAATTGCCTCTAGGTACTGATCTTGAGGAAAAGAAATATCAAGTGGAAAATTATATCTGAACAAGGAGTTTTGCAACAGTAAATATTGTTGTAACAAAAATTTGAAACAGACTAATTATCCAACAACAAGTTATTGGACAAAAAAAGTAAAAACAATATATATTCATACAATAGAATATTGTCTAACCATTTAAATATCATTAATAGTATTCATATACTTAAATTTTAAAAAGTATTATGAATAATAAAATCATACAGTCATTCTATTTTTAAAAATTTTGTATACTTTCATTTGCAGGGAATTTTATCACAAAGATAGAGATAAAATGGTAAATTTTAATTTCCAAGAAGAGAAATATCAAACATTTTTTTCTTTTTAACTATAATTTCTAAGTGCCTATGCAGTAAAAATGTACTGTTTTGTAATTTTAAAATATTAAAAAGGAGAAAAATGGGAAAGTGTATGGTTGTTTGTTAAACCAAACTCTAAAACAAAAGTTAAATATCAAATAGACACTATAGAGAAAACACTGAACTGACCTTAAAAATTGTTGTAGGTTCTTCATTAAGATTAACTCGAGTTATTACTCTTCCAGAAACTTCTTCTACATCAAAAATACTTGCAGGATAGGGAATTTGGACATCATCTACCCTATACCTCACACGGCTTGCAGGTAATCCCTAAAATAAAATTATATATTATCTCACAAAATGAAGACAAAATGTAGTGATAATGCAAAACTGATTTGTAAAATTAATAGTCATTTAGAAATAAAAAATGATATTTTAACTTTTCATATTTTCAGGTTTAAAATGTAGCAGAACTTTTATTTCTTTAGAATAACAATCTGAATCAGAGAAGTGTCTTTATTACATGTTATCTAAAATTATTTATGCAAAAGAATAAATCAAAGGTTTCCTTGGATGTCTTCCCTCCATATTTCTCTAATTATATGAACTTCACATTCTTCCTTGAACATTGTTTCTCTTTAATATTTCATCATCTGAGATCATTATAAATTATTTTCCTTGTTAGAACTCTGTGATGCTCAGAGAAGATAAAGTGTGAAGGATTAAGGTAAACCGGACAAGTGGGTATGAAAGTAAAAGAAACATTATTTGCCATCTGTTCTATGCTGTTTACTAGGCAAGGTTATTTTCATAAATCAATTCTCACAACAATCATTTAGGATAACATTACTACAATGATGATAGTAATAATAGTAAAATAATGATAGTTAATATCTGTTGGAAGCTTATTACTAGTGTGAGAATCACACTAAAATTTTTACATATATAGTCTACAAAACATTTTTTAAATGAACCTGAAGCTTATATGGTATTTAACAATGCTGAAATGTCCCAGACATGTATCAAGATAAGTTGGAATAGCAAACAAAAAAATTTATTTGTAAAGAAAACCTAACATTTGATAATTTTGAAAAAGAGTCTGTAACTAGAACAGTCAAAAATACATTGAATGTCATCACTTATATTAGAATTAAGACTGGCTTTACTTTTAATTATAATGGGGTGGGCACTCTACTTTTTCTAAGTGCTTACAGCCAGTAAATCTCATCAGTCCTAGAAGTAAAATAAACACCTCAGACTCAGAGCTAATATGTGGTCAAGTTTGATTTCAAACCTTAACAAACACTATGTTATATCACAAAACTCTTTAGAGAATAACACCTCTATTCAGCATTATCCTGATGTGATATAAGGGTGTAGCACCAATGTTACCTCATAGGCTCATTTGGTTAATGAGGCTTGTGGGATGATGGTTCTGAAAACATTGTTCTCTATATTGTTGACCTTCTTCATGACTATCCTTGAACAGAATGTATTGCTCATGTTGATTCCTGAGTCACATTGAGGTTACAGGGCAAATATGTCAGCCTACAGAACTTGTATAATCCCCTAATTACTAGCTGTAAGTCCAATACTTTCATTCATGCCATCTTGGTTTATCACTACCTCCTTGAACACCTGATGCAACTCTGTTCACTCTTTTGTTTTTCGTTCTTCCTATCTGGTGACTCCATCTCAGATTCTGCTTGTCCCCACTCTTCTTAGAGTGTCCCAAGGCTCTGTGACAGGCACTTTTATCTTCTCAACCCCCACTCAAGTCCTGTATAACTTCTAGTCCATGATTTACATACCTCCCATTTGTTAATAATCCTAAATTTAATTTTTGGCACTTTTGTTCCTAGAGAAAAATTACAGCAAAAACCATTTCAAAAACAAATTTTCAGCTTCTACTAACATCAATATCCATTCAGTCTATAGTATTGTGATTCTTTGGACTATCATGACTCAGTTATCAAGAAACGTAAAATATGTCAGTTATACTTGGCATCTGTCTAATAATGCCAAGGTATTAGTGATACACTTGGAATTTATAGCTTAAACTGATAAAACAAACAAACAAACAAACAAACTTAAACCAAACAACTTTTAGTGTTACAGAGTGTTATCCTGAAGATGTCTACAATATTTTGCTATCCAGAATATCTTACAATCTTCCTGGAGGATTGCTACAAACAAGGTTGTATGTAGAACATATATGTTATATATTAGCCATATCAGTAGGTTTGAATTCTGATTTGTCACAGATTACTATCACATAAAGAAAATGTGGCCCTAAGATGACATTTTAAGCCCATAAAAGACATTTTAATTGTTTCTTCCATCACCCTGTTATCAAGGGACCACATTTCATTTCATAAGACATAATACAACTAAACATCTAAAATGATTTAGATGTTCTTTGAATATATTCAAAAGTTTTTTTCTCTTTCTTCCATTTTCTCCCTTCCTCTCTTCTCACAACCTTCTTCTCTTCTTCACTCTATTTTCTCTTTCCTCTCCTTTTCCTCTGTTTCCTTCCCTCTCTTCCTAATTTTCCTTCTAAAATATATATATTTTAAAATAATAGCCTTGTTTCAATTTGTTAATGTAGAGTATCACATAGATTGATTTGCCAATATTGAAGACTCCTTATATCCCTGGGATAAGGCCCATTTGGTCATGATGTATGATCTTTTTAATATGTTGTTGGATTCTGTAAAAACCATATGATTATCTCAATAGATGCAGAAAAAGCCTTTGATAAAGTTAAACATCCATTTATGATAAAAACCTTCCAGAAGTCAGGCATAGAAGGAACATACCTCAACATAATAAAAGCCATATATGATAAACCCACAGCAAACATTATCCTCAATGGTGAAAAATTTAAAACATTTCCCATAAAGTCAGGAAGGAGACAAGGGTGCCCACTCTCACCACTACTATTCAACATAGTTTTGGAAGTGTTAGCCACAACAATTAGAGAAGAAAAAGAAATAAAAGGAAACCAGACTGGAAAAGAAGAAGTAAAACTATCACTGTTTGCAGATTGCATGATCCTCTACATAGAAAACCCTAAAAAAATCACCAGAAAATTACTAGAGTTAATTAACAAATATAGTAAAGTTGCAGGGTATAAAATTAACACAGAGAAATCCCTTGCATTCCTATACACTAACAATGAGAAAAAGGAAAGAGAAATTAAGGAAACAATTACATTCACTGTTGCAATGAAAATAACAAAACACTTAGAAATAAAGCTACCTGAAGAAACAAAAAACCTGTACATAGAAAACTATAAAACACTGATGAAAGAAATCAAAGATGACACTGATAGATGAAGAAATATACCATGTTCATGGATTGGAAGAATCAATGTAGTGAAATGAGTATATTAGCCAAAGCAATCTATATATTGAATTCAATCCCTATCAAGTTACCAATGGTATTTTTCAGAGAACTAAAACAAATAGCTTCACAATTTGTATGGAAATACAAAAACCCTCAAACAGCCAAAGGAATCTTGAGAAAGAAGAATGGAACTGGAGGAATCAACCTGCCTGACTTCAGGCTCTACTACAAAGCCATAGTCNAGTTATAGTGAGGGAGATGAAACTGGAGTCAATTATACAGAGTGAAGTAACTCAGAAAGAAAAACATCAATACAGTGTATTAATGCATATATATGGAATTTAGAAAAATGGTAATGATGACCCTATATGTGAGACAGCTAAAGAGACACAGAGATAAAGAACAGACTTTTGAACTCTGTGGAGAAGGCGAGGATGGGATGATTTGAGATAATAGCATTGAAACATGTATAGTACCATATGTGAAATAGATCGCCAGTCCAGGTTCAATGCATGAGACAGGGTGCTCAGGGACAGTGCACTGGGATGACCCTGAGGGATGGGATGGGGAGGAAGGTGGGAGGGGGTTTTCAGGATGGGAGACACATGTACACCCACGGCTGATTCATGTAAATGTATGGCAAAACCCACCACAATATTGCAATGTAATTAGCCTCCAATTAAAATTAACTAATTAATTTTTTAATTAGACAAGAAGGGAGATAAGACAAAAAATATTCAATCTACAGTCACCCTTTTAAGGTTAAGTTTTCAATTCTACTAATTATAAAAATGTGTTAGAGAATTTTTTTTTTTTTAGTGAAGCCTGTCCCTGAACTCATCACAGAAAATAAGATCTTGCTGATACAGGCCAGTATTTCCTTTTGTGAATATATAACATGATTATATAGTCTGGGTGTCATATTTTTTAAACTACTTATAGAATAAATGTTAACAGGTAGTTTGGTTGCAACAAACTATAATTACTAGCTAGAACTATTTCCACACAAACTTTTTAAGCTAATGAATGGTTCTCTTCTATATTTAAGAATAAAACTGATATGAAATGTTAAAAAAAAAAAAGCCTTGCTTTTATAGTTAAATAATTAAATTTTGTAATAAGTAAATGTAATTGGCTTGAGGAACAGCTTCAGCGAACTTGCCTAGCATTGCCCCAGGAGTATTTACTTCGAATCAGGTCAAATGCATGGTTTTTTAGAAATTAATAAAAATTAAAACTATTATGGCTTTAATCAGGGATTTCCTGGTTGCTCAACTGTTAAAGGACCTACCTGCAATACAGGAGTCCCTGTTTTGATTCCTGGGTTGGGAAGATCCCCTGAAGAAGGCACATGCTACCCATTCTAGTAGTCTTGGGCTTCCCTGGTGGCTCAGATCTGGGTTTGATCCCTGGGCTGGGAAGATCCCCTGGAGAACGGCATGGCAACTTACTCCAGTATTCTTGCCTGGAGAATCCCCATAGACAGAGGAGCCTGGTGAGTTACAGTTGATGGGGTCACAAAGAATCAGATATGACTGAGTGACTAAGCACAGCACGTGGCATTAGTCTTAATAATGTGCAATTCAGAAGTACAAAACAACTAAAAAAAAGATCATTATAAACTTTGTCACTAAAAATTTTTATCATTTGGTTCAGTTCAATTCAGTCACTCAGTCGTGTCCAATACTTTGTGACCCCATGGACTGCAGCACTTCCAGGCTTCCCTGTCCATCACCAACTCCTGGAGCTGGCTCAAATTCAAGTCCATTGAGTCGGTGATGCCATCGAACCATCTCATCCCCTGTCATCCCCTTCTCCTCCTGCCTTCAATCTTCCCCAGCATCAGGGTCTTTTCCAATATGTCATTATTCGCAGCAGGTGGCCAAAGTATTGAAACTTCAGCATTGTCCTTCCAATGAATATTCAGGACTGATTTCCTCTAGGATTGACTGGTTTGATCTCCTTGCAGCCCAAGGGAC